AGGAGTCAGGGGGTTGGATGCAGCACGGCTGGAGGGAGAGCCAAGCCTGCCCTCGGTGGGCTCCTTAACTGTCCCAATGCCCCAAGGCCCCCACAGAGGCCCGACAGTCCCCTGGGTGGGAAGAAATATGGGGCCCTGGCCTCCACTGCCCTCCCCCAACCTGAGCCAGTTTAGGGTCTGACAGGGGTACAAGGAGGCTCTGGGGCCTGGGGACAGGGGCAAAGGTGGCTGCTCCCACCCTGCACTGGGGAGGCTCCACAGGATGGAATCAGGATGGCCACTTTGGACCCAGAGGGGCAGCCCACCGAGCACTGCCCTCCCCCAGCTCTGGGGCTCATTCTTCTCCCCACCCCAGCCTCCTGCCAGACCTGCCTGCTCGCTGACCTGACCTCTGGGAGGCAGAGGCCCGTCCACCCTGAGGCATGCCCTCCATGGCCCCATCGCCCAGGTCTCAGCGAGACTCAGCTCCCCCCTCCCTGCCTCGCCGGCCCCCACACACCCATGGAGCAACTCCGGGAGGGACCCACTCGACTCCTGTACCTGCACCTGCCCTGCCTGATCTCACAGGCTGGGAGGGCGGTGGAGAAGGGCAGCCACCCCTCCTCCCCGGTGCTGCCCAGCGATGGAGGGAGCAGGTCAGGTCGGAGTTTCCTGAGAGGAGAAGAGCTTGACCTTGTTCTCTCCTGAGGTCAGCGCACAGCGGCTCTGGGCACACGGGGAGGGACAGTGGGGTTTGGGCAGGACAGGGGGCTGGGCCGAGCACAGCCTGAGCCGGGCAGGAAGGGCTGCAGCCAGCACCTCTGATGGCCACAACGAGAGGTCAGAGTGGAGGTGGACGTTCAAGAGGTGATGGAGTTTTCAGCCCCTACCTGTGGATTTGAAATACCGTTTCCTACTCAAAGAAAACCAGGGTTCCTTGAAACCATCGTCCCGTACACCCCAAGTTTGCGGGTTCCATTCACAGTCAGGGCGCATGCTGGGTTTTGGGTTTGATCCCCAGTCCGGGTGCTATGGGAGGCAACTGATTGATGTTTCTCTCTCACATCAATGTCTCTCTCTCTCTCTCTCTCTCTCTCTCTCTCTCTCTCTCTCTCTCTCTCTTTCTCTCTCTCTCTCCAGGTTTATATATATAAACCAGGGGTCTGGGGCAGCCTCTGTGTAACCTGATAAATGTCCCCCCAAAACATGTCCACACCAAACCCTTGGGACTTGTGTGACCTTATTTGGGGAAAAAATCTTGCAGAGCCTGACTGATGTGGCTCAGTGGTTGAGCATCCACCTGTGACCCGGAAGGTCATGGTTCAATTCCCAGTCAGGGCACATGCCTGGGTTGTGGGCTTGGTCCCCAGTAAGGGGTGAGCAGGAGGCAGCCAATCAATGATTCTCTCTCATCATGGATGTTTCTATCTCTCTATACCTCTCCCTCCTTCTCTGAAATCAATAAAAACATATATTTTAAAAATAAAATAAAGAATCTTGCAGACATGATTAAGGATCTTGAGGTCATCCTCGATTAGGGGGTGTGGGGACTAAATGTCATGAGAAGTGTCTTTATAAGAGAGAGGCAGACACAGAGAAGAAGCCGGGAGAAGGGGGGCAGGACGCAGCCAGGGCTGGGGGATGCTGGCGGCCATCTGAAGCTGGAAACAGCAAGAGGCCTCGTGGGAGCCTCGGGAGCAGGCCCGGCCGACACCTGGATCTCAGAGGCCTGGCTCCCAGAACTTGAGAGCGCAAATGTGTTGCTTCGAGCCAAGAGGTTTATGATAACTTGCATGTCAGACACAGGAAGCTCACAACGTGGGAGCCTTGACGCAGCAGACAGACAGCTGGACATGCCCTGAGGCCATTGCTTGCGGTCGGGTCATGGGACCAGCGAGGATGGGGCTGTCTGAGCACTAGTGAGAATGATAATTCCAGCCCTGGCTGGTTTGGCTCAGTGGATAGAACGTCGGCCTGTGGACTTTAGGATCCTGGGTTCGATTCCAGGCAAGAGTACATGCCTGGGTTGCGGGCTCAATCCCCAGTGTAAGAGGCAGCCGATCAGTGATAATCTCTCATCATTGATGTTTCTGCCTCCCTCTCCCTTCCTCTCTCTGAAATAAATAAAAATATTTTAAAAATAACAATAATTCCATGACTTGCCCCAACTGGCATGGCTCAGTGATTGAGTGTCGACCTATGAACCAGGAGGACACGATTCGATTCCCAGTCTGGGCACACGCCTGGGTTGCAGGCTGGATCCCCAGTGTGGGGCGTGCAGAAGGCATCCAATCCATGCTTCTCTCTCATCATTTATGTTCCTATCTCTCTCGCCCTCTCCCTTCCTCTCTGAAATCAATAAAAAGACCTATTTTTTTAAATCCATGAACTGAAGCCTAAACATGCTGAAATCTATTTGTTCTTAACACAAAAACGGACGACTTGACCACCGTTGAAAGATGTTGCAAATGGGCAAATTAAGAGAAAGATGAGCATGTACTTGCCTTTCCTACACACACGGTAACCGGCTAGCAGTAGGAGGGGCTTCTGGGTCCCCCAGGGTCCAAGGGCTGGAGGAGTGAGGGCGGGATGCTGTCCAGACCTCTGATGGGCTAAGGATGTTCTTAGATGACACTGAACACAGCCTGTAAGGGGCACTCCACCACCCCCAAAGCACCCTTGCCCCCAACAAGCCTCACCCGATCTGACCAGCCTCTACATTCATTTACCAATGACCAAAAATAGTGAGGAATTATTTCCTCCAGCCCCGGACAGAAGGAAACTCCCTGAGACAATGAGCCACTTACTTCAAAGAAATAAACTGCCAGGGGGAAGCCAGCCAAGCTGTGGTCTTGAGGGC